TGTTATGTTGACTTGATATGTTGTAGATTTTCAACATAGCCAACTTGCGCGCGACAGTGTTATGAACTAAAACTTAAATTGTTAGTGTGTGTGCGTGTGTGTGTGTGTGCTTCCAATACAGACATCATTTTGTACGTGAGTAAAGTAAAGTTAATGTAACATTTGAACACTGAATTTTCAGCTTCTCATTTCACTCTGCTTATGGCTCTCAGGTATCTTGTAAATCAACCTCTCATAGGTTATTGTTTGTTATTGTCTGTTCTGCACTTTCTTTTTATTTCTCTGCCCCTCCGTCTCTCAATTCCCGTCTCTTTATCTCGCCATCACTTTCTGTCAGTCTGATTCTCTCTCTTCTCTCTCTTCTCTCTCTTCTCTCTCTTCTCTCTCTTCTCTCTCTTCTCTCTCTTCTCTCTCTTCTCTCTCTTCTCTCTCTTCTCTCTCTTCTCTCTCTTCTCTCTCTTCTCTCTCTTCTCTCTCTTCTCTCTCTTCTCTCTCTTCTCTCTCTTCTCTCTCTTCTCTCTCTTCTCTCTCTTCTCTCTCTTCTCTCTCTTCTCTCTCTTCTCTCTCTTCTCTCTCTTCTCTCTCTTCTCTCTCTTCTCTCTCTTCTCTCTCTTCTCTTTCGCTCTCTCTTCTCTCTCTTCTCTCTCTTCTCTCTCTTCTCTCTCTTCTCTCTCTTCTCTCTCTTCTCTCTCTTCTCTCTCTTCTCTCTCTTCTCTTTCGCTCTCTCTTCTCTCTCTTCTCTCTCTTCTCTCTCTTCTCTCTCTTCTCTCTCTTCTCTCTCTTCTCTCTCTTCTCTCTCTTCTCTCTCTTCTCTCTCTTCTCTCTCTTCTCTCTCTTCTCTCTCTTCTCTCTCTTCTCTCTCTTCTCTCTCTTCTCTCTCTTCTCTCTCTTCTCTCTCTTCTCTCTCTTCTCTTTCGCTCTCTCTTCTCTCTCTTCTCTCTCTTCTCTCTCTTCTCTCTCTTCTCTCTCTTCTCTCTCTTCTCTCTCTTCTCTCTCTTCTCTCTCTTCTCTCTCTTCTCTCTCTTCTCTCTCTTCTCTCTCTTCTCTCTCTTCTCTTTCGCTCTCTCTTCTCTCTCTTCTCTTTCGCTCTCTCTTCTCTCTCTTCTCTCTCTTCTCTCTCTTCTCTCTCTTCTCTCTCTTCTCTCTCTTCTCTCTCTTCAGCGCCTACATCAGAACTTCTTGAATACATGCATAATATTACAATAAACAAAGTTGCAAGAGAAGCGTTGGCAACTACAGGAGAATAATAAAAAAAAAAAAATCATATTTATTTTATCTGATGTTTCACGACATGTCCTCGGAGATCAGCTGCATTGCTGAAATTATTCATATACATGCGTACACATACACACACAAACACATACACACACACACATACATACACACACACACACATACATACACACACACACACACACACACACACACACACACACACACACACACACACACACACACACATATATATATATATATACATATATATAAACAGATAGATAGTTTGCTTGCTAGATAGGTAGATAAATATAGATATAGATATAGATATATAGGTTAATAGATAGATAGATAGATGTACATATTTGCTGTTATGTTGACTTGATATGTTGTAGATTTTCAACATAGCCAACTTGCGCGCGACAGTGTTATGAACTAAAACTTAAATTGTTAGTGTGTGTGCGTGTGTGTGTGTGTGTGTGTGTGTGTGTGTGCGTGTGTGTGTGTGTGTGCGTGTGTGTGTGTGTGTGCGTGTGTGTGTGTGTGTGTGTGTGTGTGTGTGTGTGTGTGTGTGTGTGTGTGTGTGTGTGTGTGTGTGTGTGTGTGTGTGTGTGTGTGCTTCCAATACAGACATCATTTTGTACGTGTGTAAAGTAAAGTTAATGTAACATTTGAACACTGAATTTTCAGCTTCTCATTTCACTCTGCTTATGGCTCTCAGGTATCTTGTAAATCAACCTCTCATAGGTTATTGTTTGTTATTGTCTGTTCTGCACTTTCTTTTTATTTCTCTGCCCCTCCGTCTCTCAATTCCCGTCTCTTTATCTCGCCATCACTGTTTCTGTCAGTCTGATTCTCTCTCTCTCTCTCTCTCACACACACATTCTCAGTCTCTCTCTGCCTACCTCCCTCTCCCCCCAACCTCCTTCCCTCGGTCTCTCTCTCTCTCTCTCTCTCTCTCTCTCTCTCTTGCTTCTCTCAATTATCTAAGTCTTACATTGCTTACTTGACTGCATGGCTTCACATGGCTTCACAAGGCTTCATTTTTTCTGACACGTGGAGCTTCCTGTTTGCTGCTTAATGTCTCAGTGATAACAATGTCTCTTGTAACAATGTGCCTATTCGGGCAAGCGGACTGTGTGTCGTCTCACATAGTCTCTAAGCTGTTGGTAATGTGAGCCTTATTGGCATAGTCATTAAGTGTCGAATTGCTCTGCAGTGGAAAGCTCGCGTTATCAGAGGCCCTTAGTGTTGACGCAGGTGGTACAGTTGGTACGGCCGGTACGCGAGTAGCTGTGGTGGATGAGGGTACTTGTAAGAGGTTATTGAAGCTTACTGGATCTTAAAATTCCAAAATGGTTTTCATCTTCGCTTCCGCTCCTTCCCAAGAGTCGTATTCTGGGTTCGGTACTGCATTAACTTCGCTTTAGTCACGTATGGGTGTATAGATCTTGAATATATTTTTATAACCGGTTTATAGACGAACTATTTTTTTCGTACAAAAATTGAAGTCGAAAAGAGTATAACACTCGTATCTGAAGTTCTTTTGATCAAAATTTTACCTTCATCACACTTCAGAAGCGGATTTTTCTCGATCTTATTTTTCCTTCTTCTTGACTTCTAAGAAAAAAACAGACAGAAAGAAGACGAAGGAAAGGAAGAAGGAAAGTAAAAAAAGAAGAAAGGAGAAGAAAGAAGAAGAAGAAGAAAAACAAGAAAGGAAAGTATAGAAAGAAGAAAGAAAAAAGAAGAGGAAGAAAGAAGGAGAAAGAAGAGGAAGAAAGAAGGAGAAAGAAGAAAAGAAGAATGGAAGAAAGAAGAGGAAGAAGAAGATGAAAGACAAGAAAAAGAAGAAGGAGATAAAAGACAACAAAAAAGAAAACGAAGACGAAGAAAACAGAAAAACAAACAACACACACAGACATTGCTCCTTGGATGTTATTGACACACAAGTGACGCTTCCCCGTCGACCTGCTTTGAAATTCAGTAGATCATTTCCCCATTAGCTCGGTCAAAGGCACAACACCAGACAACTTAGTTTGCCAATAACCAATAACCTTCCCGTGCTCTTTGACCCTTATTCTGCCAACTCGAGATCAAATCCTTAACAAATGCCTGAAGGAGATTATCAAAGGGCATGTATAAGCAGGATTAACGAATATCTACTCGAGCGATTTTCGGAAGTAGTCGGAGTGTCAATAGTCGCTTGCAGAGAGGAAGTCTTGTGCTTGTGTCCTGCTTGAATTGGCTTCGGTGTTGTAATTTTGTATCGGTAGGAGGTAGTCAGTTTTTTATTTAATTAATTACTTATTTATGTATTTTCTATTTCTTTTATCAGCATTATTGTTATTAATATAATATTTTTATTAATGTTATTATTATCATTATTACTATTATTATTGTCATTGTTATTATTATTATCGTCATTATTATTATTATTATTATTATTATTATTGTCATCATTATTTTTATCATTATCCAACTTATTGTTATTATTATTACTATCATTACTATTATTATTATTATCAATACTAGCATTATTATTATTATTATTATTATTATTATTATTATTATTATTATTATTATCATTATTATTATTATTATTATTATTATTATTATTATTATTATTATTATTATTATTATTATTATTATTATTACTATTATTATTACTATCATTATTATTATCATTATTGTTACTATTATTTACTATCTAGTTCCCTGATTTCTGTCTGTCTGTTTTTCATTTCGTATGGGCTAGACATAGGCTAACTCATATGTCTGGCTGACTATTGTTGTTTATTTGATTTCATTATTATCAACTTGGTCTGGCTTTCTGACACTTTTTCTTTGTCAATCTATCTGTCTAACTACTTGCTTTTCTGTCTATTTGTCTGTCTATCCCAGTCTCACCCTCCTCTCTTTCTGCATTCCTCCGTCCCTCCCCACCTCCATCTCTTTTTCTCTCTCTCTCTCTTTCTTTCTCTCTCTCTCTCTCTCTCTCTCTCTCTCGTTCACTATCTATCTATCTATCTGTCTTTCTATCTATTAATCTGTCTGTCTGTCTCTCTGTCAGTCTATCCTCTTTCTCTTCCTCTTTATTTCTCTCCCTCTTTCTCTTCTATCCCTCTCCTGTGCCTCCTCCTACATTCTCTTCTTCCTCTTCTTCCATTCACTTTCCTCTCCTTTCTTTGATATGTCTATGAAGTGCAAGGTATATAAAGCTTTTAAACATAGACTGCATACAGATTTCCTTTACTGCGTGTCGTAGAAATATTTCCTTTGAGAGCCATCAAGCATGCTAACATAATGGCGTTCTTATGAATGCCAGGCAATATTAGGTATGCATGTATAAATGTATGTATTATGTATATATGTATGTATTTTTTAATGTATTCTTAATGTTCTTTTCTGAGAAACTATTTTGGTTTTGTATCATTTTGGCGATTATAGTTATTGCTATTATTTCTATGTATTTTTCAGTATTGTTGGTGTTGCTGTTAACATCATCATTATTATAATAATAATAATAATCATTATTATTATTGCTATTATTACTATCATGATTACTATTATTATCATTATAATGATAATAACAATAATAATTATAATCATTATTATTATCATTTATTACTATTATGACTACCCTTGTTATTATGATCATCAGCACTATTGTTATGAAAGCAGCAATAATAATCACGTACACACACACACACACACACACACACACACACACACACACACACACACACACACACACACACACCACCGCAGCCACACCCTCTCACCTGTACACTGGCGCCTCCCCGTCGGCGATGTACCACAGGGTGAGCGTCGGTGCGTCGTGGTCCGGGGCGCGTATACTGCAGGGAAGTGACGCGTTGAACCCAACAACCACCTGAACCTCCTCCATGTCGTCCAGCTGGGAACCTAAGGGGGGGGGGGGAGAAGGAAAAGAGAGCATGAGGAAGTGAGGAAGATAGATTAAGGCATTTTGTGATATTTTTTTTTAGATATCTTTTGATTTTTTTTCTTGTTTATTATCATGGTTGTGTATTTATTTGCTTTATCTTTTCTTTCTTTTATTTAATATTCATTTCCTTAAAAAAAAAGTAGAGGAGAGAGAAGGAAAAGTAGCCGATTTTTTTTTCTCTCAATAAAAGTTTTCTCTAATTTCAGAAGAACACAGAAAAAGGTAAAAGGTTTTTTTTTTCACGAGTTATTTCCACTTCGGAAAAAAATAAATAAGAGCAGGAAAAGATATTTCTGGGATGGAATTTTCGAAAAAGAGACGGAGTGAGTGACTGCTTAGAAAATTCATAAAGTAAAGTAGTTAGCACATCTTTTAAAACACAATAAAAAAAGCAAACGAATGAAATAGCGTTTCTACAGTACTGAATTCCATATCTGACAGACTGACAAGGAATCAAATTCCACTCGATACGTATTTGTTTACCGAGTCCTATACCCTTATAGTTTTTCACTTATAGTTTGATGTGTTGCTGTGATATCTCTTTACCAAGACGTTTATCTGTTTCTCGTAGACTCTCGGAGCAGTAAGAAAAGCCTCGGCAAAGGACAGACGCTGATAAGGTAAGAAGGACCCGTTCTAGCTGTCTCACATCGAGACGTTATCTGCAGGGAGGTGACTGCTCGAAAAATAAGAAGAAAAATAAAAAAGAAGAAAACAGAAAAAAACACACATGGCGCCTCCTGAGTGCCGAATTCTGTCTTTCCTTCCGCTTATTCCAGAAAGGAAACATTTTGGAAAGATTTTAAAGCATCTGGTAAAAAAAAGAAAAAAGAAAGAAAGAAAGAAAAAATAATGCATCGCTTGGGACTCCCTGTATATGGAACGAAACGTTTCTGAAAACTTCGTTATTATTATTTTTGTTTCGAGAATATGTGTATAGCAAAGTTGGTTGTGTGATAGTTTTCATTTTGATTGATTGCAAAGTGATTTTTTTTTGTGAGATAATCTAAAAGTTCTACTGGAACTTCGGATTCTTTGAAATGCATATGTATTTTCGTAGTAATTTTCTTCATGGTGCATGTATGTGTGTGTGTGTATGTGTGTGTGTATGTGTGTGTATGTGTGTGTGTGTGTGTGTGTGTGTGTGTGTGTGTGTGTGTGTGTGTGTGTGTGTGTGTGTGTGTGTATGTGTGTGTGTGTATGATTATACGTACAGGTATACAGACACATTACATATACAGTGGATAATATGTATACTTAGGCATTTATGTGTTCGTGCAATAGGCGCAAAGCGATGAAATTAGCAAACTGAACATTTTCATATCAATTTAATCCTACCCTCCTCCCCCCGTGTTAATCTCCTTTAGCGTTAAACTTATAGTATAATTGCAGTGGCCACCAATATACAGAATTAACATGCATGCCACAACAAAACCAAAAACGTGGCGACGAAGAAATAAACACAAAAAAAAAACATACAGCAGTTCAAATAATTTATCGTTAATTGATGCCAATAAAAAAAAATCGTGAACACACACACACACACACACACACAGATACACACACACACACACAAACACACACACACGCACACACACACACACACACACACACACATATATACACATGTTTCTGCATCTCCATCTACCTCCTCCCTTCCCCTCTCCCCCCATTCTCTTTTTTTTTCTCTTATTTTCAGTTCCATTTCTTCATCATGGCATACACAGAAATTTGCAACATGAAATGCAACGAGAAAATGAAATCGGAATAATACGACTCCTTCGAACGGTCATGTGTCACGTGATTTCCTTGAATGGCGTCGAAGTGGGAAAAATACAGAGAGAGGAGAGGTGGAAATGTATCATTAGGGATGCATCATGAAGGAGAAAAAAAATTGCTTTGTATTTTTCTTTTATATGAGGGCGGAATATGTATCCTCGACGAAGTCAGTTTATATCTTTGCAAGGGAGGGTAATGTAGTATCTTTAAGGAAGCGGAATGATGACATAAAACATTATATGTATCAAATAAGGCTAATGTATACACATGAAACCATTGTATGTATTATCAGGGAAGCTTACCTTTATCTCTTCAAGGAAGCTAATGTATATATCATCAAAGAAGCTAATGCATGTATCCTTAAGGAAGACGGTGTATGTATCCTCAACGAAGCTAAAAGGAAATATACCATGTATCTCGAAGGAAGCAAATATCCTATATTTCTGCTCACAGGAGCCGGTGCACGTATCCACCCCAAGGAAGGCAATATATGTATGTTCAGGAACTTTGATACATTTATCTTCAAGGAAGCCATTGCATCCTGAAGGAAGTCAATCCAAGAAATCAATCCCACAGAAGACGCAGGGGGCAGGTTGGGAGGGAGAGGGGGAGGGGGAAGGGGAGGAGGAGATAGAGGGGGAAGGGGAGGGGGGAGCGGGAGGGGAGGTCGAGGATGAGGTCGAGGGGGAGGGGAAGTGGAGGGGATAGGGGGAGAGGGGGGAGAGGGTAGGGGAGGGTTAAGGGGAGGAGGTAAAACAGGGGAGGGGTGAGAATGGCTGGAGGAAGGGGAGGGCAGAAAACCTGAGGGGAGGGGAGAATGCCAGGGGGAGGAGAGGGGAGAATACCCGAGGGGAGGGGAAGGATGTAGAGGGGAGGGGAGAGGGGAGAATGCCTGTGGGAGGGGAGGGGAGGGAAGTGGAGGGGAAGGTAGGCGAGAATGTCTGGAAGAAGGGGAGGACGGAAAAGGGGAGAGGGGAGAAAGCCTGGAGGAGGGGAGGGGAGAATACCCGAGGAGAGGGGAAGGGAATGGAGGAGAGGGGAGGAGAGAGGGGAGGGGGATACCTGGAGAAAGGGGAGGACAGAAAACCTGAGGGGAGGAGAGGGGAGGGCAGGCGAGGGGAGAGTGGGGGTGCCACGCTTGCTTTGATATCTGCATGCTCTTTGCTTTCTGGCTAGAGTGGCTGTCGTCTTCTTGTAGAAAAGAGGGATATAGGACGAGGGAGAAGAAAAGGAGAACGATAAGGATGGAATAGTAAGTACGAAAGAGATTGACAGATAGATAGATAGATGGATGGATAGAAAGATAGAGAGGGAGAGAGAGAGAGAGAGAGGAGAGATAGATAGATAGATAGATAGAGGGAGAGAGAGAGAGAGGAGAAATAGATAGATAGATAGATAGATAGATAGAGAGAGAGAGAGAGAGAGAGAGAGAGAGAGATAGAGAGAGAGAATGGTAAATAGATAGAAATATAGATAGATAGATAGAAAAAAGAAAGAGAGAGAGATGAAGAAGAAAAAAAGATGAAGAAGAAAAAGAAGAAGAAGAGAGAGAGAAAGAGAGAGAGAGAGAGAGAGAGAGAGAGAGAGAGAGAGAGAGAGAGAGAGAGAGAGAGAGAGAGAGAGAGAGAGAGAGAGAGAGAATGGTAAATGGTTAGATAGAAATATAGATAGATAGATAAAAAAAAAGAAAGAGAGAGAGGAAGAAGAAAAGAAAGAAGACGAAGAAGAAGAGAGAAAGAGAGAGAGAGAGAGATGATATGATTATCTCATTTACATATAGTCAACACTTCAATGCTTTGTATACGAGCAGCTCACTTTTCGAGTTAAAGAATTTTGAGAAACGCATATTTTTGAAATCCAAAACTAACACACACACACACACACACACACACACACATATACAAACAAAGATACACACACACACACACACACACACACACACACACACACACACACACACACACACACACACACAAATACAGACCCCCCCCCACACACAGACACATATTCACACACGCAAATACACCCATACACACACTTCTCTATATAATATTAGTATTCATAGCTACATTTAGGAAAGAGATATATCGTTAATGAAACACATTAAAACTGATATCATTAATAATGGTAATATAAATTGTGTTACATTTGCCATGCATATCGGATTTCCGGGCGCAAGGACAGTTGCATGAGAAAGCTGTATGGCACAATCATAAGCTGACATACATGTACATACACACACGCACACACTTTGAAACAGGTAGGTGTATATTCACATACAAAGACACACAAAAAAAACGCTAATATATACAAATCAGAGTCAAGTAGGAAAGAGAGAGGGAAAAATAAAAGGGAAAAGGAAGAAGAGAAGGAGAGAAATAGAAAAGGGAAAAGAAAAGGAGGAGAAAAGAAAAGAACAGAGAAACGAGAAAGAAAGGCCAATAAAGGAGAGAAAGAGAGAGAAAAAAAGAGAGAAAGAGAAAAAAGCAAAGAAATGAAAAGAAGAGAAAGAGAAAGAGAGAGAGAAAAGAACAGAGAAAAAAGGAGAAAAATAAGAGATAAAAGAGAGGAAGAGAAGAAGAGAAAGAAGAGAAGAGAAGAGAAAGGAGAAAGAGAGGAATAGAAAGAGAGAAATGGGAAAAAAGGAGAGGAAAAAGCTTACAGAACTACCAAAGAGAACAACTAAACAGCAGTCAAAAACTGTCGATTTATTTTCATTTATTTTGTATATTTCGTATCATTTGGCCTGAAGAACAGCACATTCTAAGACGCGCTTCTCAAATAGAGCTTGAAGGTTGAAGACTCGGATAGGCAGAGAAGCTTTTTCCCGAGCTCTGTCCTTGCAAGTCCAGCTTTATTTCACCAGTTTTCCGGATCCTCTGAAACGTTCTCTCTCGACCCCCCCCCCCCCCTCTCCCCCCTCCCACCCACCTCCCGCCCGTTTCAAGCTGAAGTGGGAGATGGTGAACAGTCTTACCTGTGTGGTGTGTGTGTGTGTGTGTGTGTGTGTGTGTGTGTGTGTGTGTGTGTGTGTTTGTGTGTGTGTGTTCACGTTCTTTTCTTCCTCTCTGTCTTTCTGTATGTCTGACTGTCTGTCCTTCCTCCCGTCCGTCCGTCTGTATGTCTGTCTATCTGTCTATCTATCACCCACAAACTCACTCGATATCTTTCTCTCCAT